GAAAGATGGAGAGAAATGGAGTAAAGGGTGAGAAGGTGGGGGTGGGTGGGGGGAGTTAAAAGAGCCGAAGAACGGTGGGAATTTCAGCACAGGTGTTAAGCCTTGCCTGTTGTACCCATATAACTCTCGAGGTTTGTTTCGAACTTGGAATCATCCCTTTTCTTCGCACCCCCCCCTTTTGCCGCCCTCTTCTCTCCTCATTCTCTATTGTATCTCTCTCTTTTACACTTACTCTACTGTAGGCCAACGAGCTTTAATGGTTGAAATTTTACGAGTGTTGACGAAGAGTTAACTATTCTCTCTCTTTCTCTCTCGTGCTTCTTCTATATCCATGCTGCTTTTATTCCTTTACTTTGTCCTTATTCCCTTTAGACGTAACCCTAAACTTCCCACGCTTAAACGGAGACTGTGAAATATAATTTAACGATTGGATATATTAAGTTCTTATGCTTCTATACATGTCTCTTGTATTTTCTATCCTCCCATCCTTTCGAAAGAGACAATTTATACGATAAGAGAGAGAGAAAGAGAGAGAAAGAGAAAGAGAGAAAGTTTGTTGGATTAGTGAAAAAGAAATAAGAATATATTATCTATAACTATTTCGAGATCTTTAATAAACGTTGCTTAAGATTAAATGAGACGTTAAACTGATTTAACTTACGCAAAAGTGGGAGAAATCTAATTAAAACGGGACAAACTTCTCTTTAGAAAGTAACAAACAAACAAAACTTTATTTCGAGATGCGTGAGATGTATTCTTTAACGAAATCTTCATTATTATTATTATTATTATTATTATGTTAATGTGTATCCAATTATATGCTCGAATTCATTTTATTTGCACCGAAAAATTTTAACATCATAGATAATTATTTTAGTAATAATATCTTCATAATAAATTATTTTTTAAATGTCTGACTATATATATACTCGTGCTATTTAAAAATGTCTGACCAAAATGGATGTCTGATTCGTACTATTTAGAAATGTCTGACCATAATGGATGCCTGATTCGTACTACTTAGAAATGTGTCTGATCATATAAAAACGCTTTGTATTTTACTATTTAAAAATATCTGATCATAATGAACGACGAATTCGTACTACTTAGAAATGTCTGATTATAGAAAGACGCTTTGTATTTTACTACTTAAAAGTATCTGATCATAATGAACGACTGATTCGTACTACTTAGAAATGTGTCTGATCATATAAAAAGGCTTTGTATTTTACTACTTAAAAATATCTGATCATAATGAACGACTGATTCGTACTACTTAGAAATTTCTGATCATATATGAGAATTTGCTTCGTACCATTTAAAACTATTACAATTTTTTTCTGATATAAATTTGCATCGTTGCTTGCGTATCGAAAAATAAAAAGAATATCGAAAAGTATGAGTTTAAACGGGTCTTACGTTTTACACGTGATTTTCTAGGATTTATGAAAGCGTTCCTTTCGGCACGATGGACATCATCCTTCAGACGCACTACGTTTATGATTCCAACCTTTTTCTTCTTCCCTACCTAGGTACATCCATTTTCCAGGGGTTAAACTTTATACCGTCAAGGTTGGCGTGTGTATATACGCGCGTAAAGAAAAAGAGAGAGAAAAGGGTATAACGTTTTCTCATGATCTACTCTTTGCAGTACATTAAGCCATATATTTTATGGTATAAGAGAAGTGAAGGTGGGATGATACCGTATGGTGAAACAGGTAATGATATCGGCAGGGAGGAAAAGTGACTATGAGACATGGGAATGGTATGCGAGTTAGTGACTGATGCGTGTTGTCTCTTGAACAGAGGTTGTCAACCATTTATTTTTATTCATTTCTAAAAATTATTCCCCACATTATTATTATTATTATTATTATTATAATATTTATTATTCAGTTTCACAATTTGATTGATTTTTATACTAATTATTGTTATAATAATAATAACAACAGCAACCACATTAATAATAATAACAATAAAAAGTATTATGGAAAAACAAGTGAACAATTTAAAAACATTTATCTATCTCGTAACAACAAAAGAGACGCTGCATCGGGTAACGTCCTAGTTGCAAGTTGCAACACATAGCAATGGTTGGAAAGGGGGTAGGAGGAGGTGGAGGTGGAGGAGAAGGAGGATGGGTGGTTGGTTTACTGGGATGCATCCTTCCTACCACGTTCTAATGTATACTTTTCACGTCGCGGTAAAACTGCGAGCTTCGTGTGCCGTAAAGATAGTCGAGCGAATAACGGCAGCGCATGCCGGGTATTACGCGACGTACCTCGCTCGATAATGATACCGCACCCGACGATAAAAACAAAGTGAAACCCTTATTCTCTCTCTCTTTTTTTCTTTCTCTTTCTCTTTCTCTCTCTTACTATGCCCACGATGACGCGTTTTTCGCTGCGTTGCTCGTGCGAAAAACGAGGCCGTTTTTACCCCAAGATAACTACTTCCTTTTCTTTTTTCTTTTTTTTGCATTTTCTTTTTTTTTCTTTTTTCCTTTCCCCCTCCCCCCATTTAAATCGAGATCAAGAATTTACTTCTTCTTTTTTTATCATTTTGTTCTTTACAAAATCATATGTACGCTTTTGAAAGACTGAAATTATTGACCCGTTTTGACATATGCCCATTTGACGGGATATACCTTTTATTTATTTATTTATTTATTTATTATTGTTATTAGATTCAATCGTAATTATTTGGTCGAACAAATATTAATATTACTTTTATTTTTAACTTAATAATGGTATACTAAAGGCAATGTAATATTATCGAATAAAGTATCTAATTAAACGATAATAAATCCGTGTTTATCTATTCGATTCAGCATTTATTCCACATCCCGATATATTTAATAAAGCAAATGCCATAAACAATAAGCAAAGTTTAATATATTCATTTGAGTACCTATATTTAATTTTACTATAATAAACATGCAAGAGGTTGTGTTGTTTGTTGTTGCTTACAAATAAATATTATTCGAATAATTATTATTTTAATAATCAAATATAATACATTTATTAATATATTAGAAAAATAAGAATAGAATCATATTGTCATATTGACTTGAATTTATTATATTTATTAAATTGCAATAATTCTCGTTCCGCGGTGTGTGTTAAATAAAACAACTAATATCTGTCGAAATTTGATATGTTCTCCATTCGTAGAATCAAAAATCTAAAGTGCGCGCGAAAAACGTCATCTCGGATCTATCTTAGAATTTTTCGTATCAGGATATGCCACGTTTGGGAATATGATCTGAAATAACCGATTCCAACGAGAAATGGAAAGAAACGAAAGAAAAAGATAGACAGAAAGAAAGAAAGAAAGAAAGACAGGCAGACAGACAGACAGACAGACACCTCTACACAGAGAAAAAGAGAGATAGATAGAGAGAGAGAGAGAAAGAAGGTTGACGTAAAAATTTCGATGTCCTGAAAATTCAGTTTCCCCCCTCAGCCCTCCCTCCCCCATCCCTTCTACCTTCCTACTCTCTCTTATTTTAGATCTTCATCTGATCGATCGAAAGGATCGTGTCAGCCGATGTTATATACCCTGTGAGCCATGAGTAGGTGGAATACGTTTTATGGGAAAAGTAGCATGGATAGGAGTAAAAGAGTATTGGATAGGAGTATCTGACGACAACTACGACGATGAGGGACAACTACGATGAGGTTAACAGTAGTACTAGTAACAGTAATAGTAGTAGTAGTAGTAGTAATGGTGATATGGTTGGTGTTGGTGAACGTGAACCAATAGTCGACGCTTATGAGCACCGTATATGACCAGACACGAAGTGTACTTCGCGAAGTGGGCAGGTGTGCTCTCGGCAAACGAGATGGATGTACTGAATGTTCCCATATCGCGTGACCACTCGATCAACGCTGCTGCGAGTTGACAGTGACTTACGCACTCTGGCACTCAACGAGATATGACATGCGCCAGGGGCTCGACACCCTCTTCCTCTCTTCAACCCTCTTTACCTATTCCCCCTTCCCCGAAGCCCCTCCTCATCGTCGTCACTCTCTCTTTCTCTCTTACTCTCTTTTTCCTACTCATTCTTCTTTTTTCTTTTTTTTTTTCTATCGTTCTAGACGAGCTCAAACACTTTATTCTTCCACGTTCGATATCCTCTTTTCATCGAAAACTCATGTTCCCCGATCACTTATCTTACGTCTCTTCTCCTATGTATATGTGTGTGTGTGTATATTCTTTTATATTTTCTACTAAAATTACTTTCAATCTATTCTATCTATTTCTTTTATATGGATATTTCTTCAAAAGATATATATGTTTAGCCCTAAGCGTTATATGTCTATTGAAAATCATTTTTCATTATTTAAATATATGGTTTTTGAGAATATTTTCTAGATTATTATTTATTTGTTCGAAGTAGTGTGTGTGTGTTTTTTTTCTCAATATTTTTTGTGACAAAACCCTTAGCCATCATTATAAATGCAAATCATTTATTAGATTGTTAATTAAGTCCGTACAAATTGCGTTGATTTTTTTTTTAATTTACTCAGATCTTATTTAACTTCCTAACGATCTAATAATATTTGAAATATTGCTAAATTATTGTTCAAAGAAAAAAAGATACATCAAAATACAAATCATTTATCTTACAAAATATTGATCAAAAAAATATGTTGAACAAAATATTCAATTAATAATTAGAAGATTTATAAAAACAAAAAACAGATAAAAATATTTGCATATCAATTTGTGGATTGAGGGATTGGAACAAAAAATTGTAATATATATGTGATGAAAATAATTCGTTAAAATACAATAATAATAATAATAATAATAATACTCGAGATGAACGCTTTTTGGAAAGATTTAGTCGTGATTTGATCTTGCCATAGGTGTGCTGATATTCTATCATGCTTTGATCGCGAGTGAATGAGCAAAGTTAGATTCGAACGTGTTTGGACTATGAAGTCGAAGGTAACGGGTCACCGATGGCTAAAGCTCTGATCTTTACTACTTACCAGTCTCTAAAACCGTGAAACGTGGATTGGACGTGTCCATGGGCAGCATATTTCGTACCCAAGAGATGATGGGCGCTGGTGAACCAACAGCTCCGCAAAGCAGAACAGCCATATGACCCATCTCTACTACCTTTGCTGCTGGCGCTTGAGTGATCATCGGAAAGCCGGGTGGTAAATTCTCCGCTGTAATCAAAATTACGATACACGCATTGTAATCAATTAAAAATATTATTTTCATCATAAATACGCGAAATATTTCATAATAGAATAATAATTTATATGCCATTTCTAAGTTCACGTTTAATATATATATATTTCAATTGATTGGGAGGGACAAAACTTTTCTTGGTTACCTGATATTAGAGAGAAATATATTGCACGTTTTAATATCAGTTAATTAAAAAATTTAATGTATCAATAATTTCTTAGGTTTGTCTATCATGTATATCACTTATTAATTCAAATATTATAGCACAAACTTTCTCGGTTACATAATATCAGTAAATAAAAAATGTATTATATATTATAATATCAAGTAACAAAGGTAACTCTCGTATCAATAGGTAATTTATAAGTTAACCTAGAAACGGTACGAACTTTTTCGATCAGTTAACAATTAGATAAATTCGATCGAGTGTATTTTCTTTTTTATTTAAATTTTGAATTACTTAAATATTATTATTTGAATTGGTATGGTATTGAGATAATTTATTATAATATTGAATAAACGCATGGATGATCCTTCAAAAGTACCATTTAAACAGATAATTTAAAGGACAGATAGAAATACGTTCAAAGTTTGTTGGATCGTTCGTTAATATAGATAGAAATTTGAAAGGAAGAAGTAGCACGTTGGTAGATCTAGCAAATCCCAAGATGACCCTTCTCTACGGGTATCCGGAAGGACCAACCAAAGCCATTTTACTCTCTCAAGGGAGAGAAAGTTAAGAAAAGCCATTCGACTACTGTCCGACGCAAATACTCCTTCCATTTGCCATCATGGAAAAGGAAGCTTCTGTTTCTCCAAAAGTCTTCCACTGGATGTGGATAAATGCGAGCCACGGTGTTCCTGCCATCACCGATGAGATAAGAATTCAATGTATCCTTTGCTAAACTTTTCTCAGAAAGGATTTCATATGAGAAATAAAGAGAGAGAGAGAGAGAGAGAGAGAGAAAAGTACACCACAAATAAATAGAAAACTTTGTCAAAATTTTCCAATCGTACAATATTCTCTTCTTATTTTATTTTTCATATCTATTTTAACGATAATAATTGTAGAAATAATCTTATATTTATCGGGTTAGAGTATTTTATAATAAATAAATAATACAAGTTTGTATTATAGAGAGATTTTATTGATTAATCAAATAGAAAAAAAAAAAAACAATTTAAATAGATAATCGGTATTTATAATGAAATATTAGTACGCGAAATCCTAATGCAATTTTATCATCGATTATAAATATTGACGTGCTATTTAAAATAACGAACAAATTATTTAGACTTGAATGAAGTGTAAACTGATCGTTTGTTTGATAAAATATTTGTTGTAATCAATAAAAGTATCCGTTGCGACGGAAAATCTTCTTGGTTTATTTAGATACTTGACGAATTTATAAATAGTGTATACGAGATAGAAGATTTATCTTAGTGTTAGTAGAGAGAAACGAGATTAAACCAAACAGTTTCGAAATACACGTGGTTCGACCTACATTGCACCTGTTCTTCATGTAATTACGATGGTACTACATTAATCCTTAGGGTGAATTCTTAGTTAAATTTCAGTCCGAAGATATAGTACTCGAACTTTACGAAACTCCTTGCTTTTCTTTAGTTTCATTTTGGTTTTGAAAGATGTCTGTGTACTTCGAATGATCGGTCGAGTTCGCTGGTTTCTCCTTTCCCTTTTTCTTTTTTCTTTTTTTTTTTTAATTAATTACGAACCCTTCGATAAATTTTTCAAAATGTCTGCTAGCAAAAAACTTGATGAAATAAAATATTTCATTTCATCGCTAAATAATCCTAATTGGAAATGTTTGAATTTCAATATTGGATCTTTGTTTTGTTTTCTATTTTTCTTTTTTTTTTTTTTTTTTAATTAATTTAAAAATATGTTTTTCCATGAGAATTCTTAAAAATATACCACAGCAATGCAAGTAATTTAATTAAATTTAAAACAATATCTCACATAGAAAAGAAAAAAGAAAATTACTTGTTAAGTTAAGAAAAAATTATTACCACATACAACCCATAACAAATTTCTAATAAAATAATTAACAATAAGATATATATATATATATATATATATTTAATTGATTACATATTGGGAATCAGTGATCAAATTAAAGAATACAAATACGAACGAGAAATATAATAATGTTTTAAATGAAAAGTAAATAATGCGTTATATTATAATTAAATAATTGGGTAATTAAAGAATAAACAAATTGTCGAACTTGTCACTTAGGACATTGCTCTCAGTGTGTTAATTATTTTTTCAAAAGAGGCTTTTTTTTCTTTTGTTCTCGTTATCGTTCGAGTTATCCGGTACGTTGGCGCCAATTATATCGGTGAGAGAGAGAGAGAGAGAGAGAGAGAGAGAGTGTATAGTGTACTGACAATAGAAATCGCTCGCAGATTTCTCTCTCTTTCTCTCTCTCTCTATCTATCTATCTATCTATCTCTATCCTTTTTTCTTTTTCTTTTTTCTTTCAGTTAGTTTGTAGAACCTTTGCCACCGTCATCCCCTACGGGCAATGGCAAACAATACAACAAGAGTAGGAGGAGGTTCTCGCAAGCACAGTTACAGAAAGTCAAACGTCGAACTGTATATACATTGTCCGTTTTCTCTATTCTCACATTTCTTTCTTCAAAGTTAGGTATCACTTGGAATCGTATTTATCGTAAAACACATAAGAGAAATAATCTAAAAGAATTATCTTTTTTGGAAAGCTTTTTTTTTATCCTTTTTCACATGTGATCATTTAAAACAACTGTTTTCTTTTTTTTTTTTTCTATATTTGCTAATATCCCACATACACACACACGAGCTAATAAAATAGATGATATTTTGATTTATTAAATTTCAACAAATTTCATACGCAAAACAATTTAATATTCTTATTTATAATTAAATTTCTAAACAATATTATATTTTTCACATCGCGCAATTGAAAATTTAATAAAAATTCTCTCTTTTTATTCGACAAATTAGAAGAAAACAAAAAACAAAAAAAAAAAGAAGAAAGAAAGAAACAAAAACAATTTGAATGAATTTATTTTGACTTTTTTTCCCTTTTTATAAATGCAAATATAATTCTATCGTCACACAACCACAAACGAGAGAGAGAACGGGGTGTTGTATTATTTTGTATTTAATTAAAATCTATTATTATGGAAATATCCAATTTTATATTGAACGAACAGAAATATAGTCAATTGTTCGCGCGAGTTTTTTTTTTGTTTTTGTTTTTTTTTTCTCGAAAGAGTAAAAAAAAACGTGGAGATGGAAAAATCTATGGAAAAGATGTGTAAAAAGAAAAAAAGAAAAAAGTATAAGAAGAATATGTTATAGTCAGTAAAGATCCTTTCGATTTATCTTTCTCAACAATTCTAGGTTTTTCTCTATTTTTATCTTATTCTTTCTTTAACCTCAAGAGGTTTCTCTTCGATCACTTCCATCCATATTTTTCCATGACAACGCTTGACCACAATACATGATAAACGTCAGACAATCTTTTTACAAATGGAAGTAACTTTTGCGTTGCAGTATTGTCTAGTTATCGTTCGTCGACTCGATTTTATTCAAACGAACAATCTTTTTTCTTTCCCAAAAAATGGTATGTTTGTAACGGAACACATGTTATATTCTCTTGTGCTGCTGCATTCAATTGGATTGTTGTTTTATATTGTTTTGTTTGACGAAACGATATTGCGTTACGTTACGTTACTCAAATGCATTTATATATGTATATATATATATATATATATTTTTTTTTTATCCATAACTTTCATATAGAAAACTTGTATACGTGAAAAGCAAAATATCACGTAAATATCAACAAAATCATCCCATCGTTTTGTTTATTTATCTGAAATATTTAATAAACCTATCGAATATCTTCTCATTAATGAGTTTACAAAAATATTATACACGTAGAGGATATTGATGATATACATTATATATATTTTCTCATTTTGCAAATAGTTTATTTTCAAATATCGAAACTGAAATTTCAATATTTCATTTTCTTTTCTTTTTTTTTTTTAATATCACTCTCTTTCTCTCGTTCTCATTTCCTTTCATAAAAAAAGAACTATACAATGTTTATAGTATCATCGTTTTCATATTATTTTTCCTCTTACCATTATTTTGATATCAGTCGATAGAATACAGTATAACTTTCTTTTCATCTTATTTTTATTTTTATGTTTATAAACGTAAGTACGTGACGAGTTCCTGATCGTGGTATTTCAAAGAGGGAGAAAAAATAAAAGACAGAAAATGATAGAGGAAAAAAATAACGGATGGTAAGACGATTCGAAGTGGTGAGAGTGACTATTTGATACTCGACACGACTAACTCTCTCACTCGTCTTCCATTCTTGATTATCGTTTCCACTATTTCAATTCTTCCTATCTTTCTTTTCTTTTACGATCGCTCGTTTAGAGTTTCCTCTTATATTAGGTGATAAAGAAATTGTTTTTTGATGCGAGAAATAGCAGATTTTTCTTTTTTCACGAAAGAACCAAAAAAAAAAA